TAAGCGAGATCCCAATTTCGTCGGTCATCCGACGTGACGTCGAGAGTGACCGACTGAAAGGGAACTGTAATTTACAAACAAGACAATTTGAATGTAAACCAGTAAATTCAACAACGCACACTGATATTAAAATCTGTTTTGTACCTTTAACATGCCTGGGAATATCAGTTTACAGTTTTGGACTGTAAATTATACATCGATTTGTTCTTTTTTACTTCTAAAAACTGTAAGATTAACAGCATTTTACTGTAAAATCACATGAAATGTCTGGTTAGATCTTTTACAGTATCTTTTATAGTATGTGAACTTACTGTTAACCTATTAACAGTTTTTTTTCCTTAGCGTTTTAACAAAATGTTACAGTTAAAATTATGCTTATTTTTTTACAGTGTATCAGCAGCAGATGTGTCACAATCACATTATTTTTTTAAATGATGTATAATACAGTATATTATTAATTAGTAATTACATATATATTTTTTATTCATGTAAATTTATAATTACATGTTATTGTTATTATTATTATTATTAAGTTACTTTTAACTTCTATTGTTAATTAAAAATACTGTGGTCATATGGAGTTGAAATGAATTTTGTTCTGCTTTATAGCCTTTCTTTACTCAAATTTTGTTGTGTGTTTTGTAGAAGCCGTTTGCGATAGGACAGTATAGACTGACAGGAATCAGGAAGCAAAGAGAGTGAGGCGGGATTGGGAAAGGTACGCAAGTCGGGACTCTGGTGTGTTGCCTAAATTACAGCCCCACTACATTTTGGAGCGCTGTCCACAAGACTATCACCTCCAACTGTAATGATTTTTTTAATTATTTTTTTTTTATTATTTTTGAGCTGTCAGGATGGATTTTGCGGGAAACTGCATACATATACTCTATTTATCCATAGGTGTCACGTCACATCATGTACTTTTTCTGTATACAGAGAAAAGTAGCTCTGGCTGTGAATAGTGTGAAGCTGAAATTTTGTTGTCACATCGAGCAAGAAAGAAATGACCATAGATGATTCCAAACCTCAAACCTCCAATGAATCACCAGTTGCAAAAAAAAAAGAAAATTTTATTTATTTATTCATCCGTGTAGAGGAGCAGAGTCTAAGCACAACCAAAGCATGCAGTTAAAAAATTTTAACCACTACATAGTGTATCTAGTTTTAACCATTTTATACATAGTGTATAAAAAATTGATTCCTCATGTCATTATGCCTTTCATATTTTTATTTAAAGCTTCACATGTATTAGAGTCATAATTCCATTGTCTCTGTTTCTCAGGATGTGTGGTTTCACTCCCATCCTTATGATCGCAGTGGTCTGTTTAGATTGTTGTTAAATGTTCAGAACTCTGCTGTGGACTGTGTGGATTATTTTTCCTACAAGTCTGATCCGGAATTCACTGAATTTATCACCTCAAAGGTGGCCAATGATCTACAGGTGAACATTCAGGTAAAAAAAAAAAACTTCTTCAGAAGAACAAGATCTGCCCCTTAGAATTTGAGCTGCCAACTGTGCATTGATGGGACTAATTATTCTCTTTTTCTCAGAAAAAGGCAGATATGTTGAATTTGAGTATGAGTGAGGTGACTGTGACGGGTCTACAGGGAGATCGGCAGTATCTGTGTGTTTTGGAGAAGATTGAGTCCAATGCCGTCATCTGTAAGATTAAAGGAGCCTTCCCAGCAGTGGACTCACTCACTGTATGTTTTTGATATTTTCAATTCTTTGGTAATTCTATGGATTATATGGAAGTTCATCATTTGACTTGATAACGCTGCTGTGTTAAGTTTAATCTAAATCTTATTTAACTTTGTAAAGTAAGATTTACATTAAGATGAAAATAATCTTTTTTCATTGTCATTTCAGATCACGGTTGGGAATTATGTTCTTGGGATGAGTGGTACAAAGTATCTGTTCTGCCTCAGTCCACAGGATATAACTGGCCGCGAATGAAGGAAAAATGAAAACATAAATGATTCTCAGCATACTACAGAAAAAAAGACTATGATTTCCTATTCCAAGGTCTAGAGAGTTCCATTTTTTTTATATATATATATATATTTTTTATGCAATTATAAATGTGGGTAGTTGTTTGTTTTTTTTTTTGTTACATTTTATTTCTACTTTATATATATTAATTTTTAATTGATAGTTCAGCTTTAATTAACACGTTTTGTGTTATGTTCTCTAACTATTCAACAGTCATTGTAATTCAGACACATGCAAACATACAAACTTTTTTTTAAGAAAAAATATGATAAAATGTTGTTTACATCTACAATAAGTCAGCATAAGAGATCACCAAACATCTCCTGCCAGAGTCATTCTGTTGCTGATCAGAAGGTGGTGCAATCTACTCATTTATTATACACTGCACAAACAGTCAATTCAAGGTTCCTACAGTGGACATGTATGGTATTTAGTTCTGTAGTACAATTATTTAGTTGTTGAAAACTTTGATTGTAATTTTTTTTCATACTAATAAACATGGCAAATATACATTACGATAACCGTTATAATCTGGTCTGTATTTTCTGTATTTAAATGTACAAACACACATAAACACTAACATTTATCAGGTCTCTACATTTTAACATGCCTAATTTTGAAGTTCTATGAAAGATTATTACTAACCCCTTGAATTTGAATTTCATTCAAACTTCTAATTTTATTGGCATGAATGGGTAAACCATTAAAAAAAACTAATATGGCTACTACTAAAATGAACTGATATGAAGGTCTCAAGATATTCATAATAATAAATAATATTAAATAATAGAAATATGATCTACATTTAAATATACTTTATATATAAATATCTGTAATATATACTATAAATACTAAACTATTTATCATCACATCCCTAATTTTCAATAAAGGTAGAATAATTATTGCCACTTTGCTATCTGATATATATATATATTACACATTTTTTCTTAGTAACTGTAACTGATTACAATTACTTTTATTTTGTAATTAAATTACGTAATTCCGTTACATGTAACTAGGTACTCCCCAACACTGTGTAGCAATTGCACACAGTTGTATTTCAAAATAGTGCCATTACTGTGATACATTTTCATTCTGCTACATGTTAGCTTGAGTAACATAAATGTGTGCAAAAATCACTCTAGTTCAACAGAGAAACTACATCTACACCCAAAGCTCCTGTGTGCTACTTTATCAGTGCCTACACAGCAATCAAAATTTCACAAAATGGAATTATTCCTTCTGAAAGGGTGATAAAAGAAAACTAAATAAAGGGCAGTGCAAAGAAAAACAACAAAAACTCAATGCCTGCTCTGAATCTAACTATGGCACATGATTCATTTGATGTGCATAGTTTTCTGCTATAGTGTCACTGCAAATTACCTTTGAAAAGAAGAACTGTTTCAAAGAAACTCAATTTACCATAATCATTCTAGCAGGAAAGCACTAGTGCACTAATGATAGAGCCTACAGATACACAGAGACAGGGGCGGACTGGCCATCTGGACGTTCTGGAGAAGTCCAGAAAGGCCGTCCATCCGGCGGCCGTCGGCCTGGCTGGTTCATCATCAAAGAAAAAGTGTCAGATTAAGTGACGTTGACGGCCGACAAAAGGGGGCGCTAATGCAATCTATTTTTGCTTAATGGTTATAAGAAACCGAAACTGACACGAAGGAGAGTGGGCTCGTGATAGTATGGGCTTAAAAAAAAAAAAAAGCAAACAGTTACATCAGATTATTTTTGCCAGCCAATCTCACTATACAGAGCTTGCAGCCTATAGCACTAGTAAAATCCCAGGACCCCTAGTCAGAACCTTCACTGTTATTTTTTAATCAGCATTGTCTGACATGAATAGGCCTATTCCATTCATTCATAATTCATACATAAAGAGACAGCAGCGATTCTACAACGGGTTACATTTGAGTAGAGTTGGGGTACTCGGACTCATACGCGGACTCGAGTCCGGTCTCGAGTACAGTTTTTAAATGACTCGGACTTGTCGGACTCGTATGCGTTTTTACTCGGACTTGACTCGGACTCGAGCCTTTCGAACTCGGAAAATATGTCCAACCGAGTAGTGATGTGTCGTTCGCGAACGAGCCGGCTCTAAGCCGATTCTTTGTAGCGAACGAGAAGAGTCTTCAGACGAATCTTCGAATCTTCAGTCGGAGCCTTCTATTTTAGCCCAATATAGCAATTGTGAATGGTTTGTGCTGGTAAGCAATTTTTTATTCAGTGTTCTAAGGGAGCCGAGCCAAAAGAGCCGAACTTCCCATCACTACAACCGAGTCCAGTTGATGGAAATGTCACTGACTGAATGCATTATGACGAAAGTGATATTCAGTATTTGCATGTGTTTTTAAGTCTTGCTCACACACCGAAAGCGCGCTCACAGAATAACGCGCCTCTCAGTCAGCGTGCGAACGCCGAGTTCTCTTTCGCTTAAGTTCTCTTAAGTTCTGTTATTGCTACACACTTACACGAAAAGTTATGTC